GAAATAAATAAATAAATAAATAAATAAATAAATAAATAAATAAAATGTCCAGTAGCACCCAAAGAAGTGTGCATGCACATGAAAGCTTATACCCAGAACAAACTTAGTTGGTCTCTAAAGTGCTACTGGACAATTTTTCATTTATTTCAACTGCGTCAGACCAACATGGCTACCTACCTAAATCTCTTAAAATGAGATTCAGAAGTAATAGAAAATACATAAGTGAGTGAGAAGATTAAAGATTTTATCCTAAACCAGCAATGTATACATACCAAGCAAGCACTTCAGTCTGCCACTTGGAAGCCCTCAAGAAGTGGCGAAGCAACTCCCCCAGGTAACCTCAGTTTGCACGGCCCTGCAGCTGATCAGTCCGTGCACGAGCTTCAAAGAAACTCTGCCCAAACCATCTGATTTTATAGATAGACAGTGTGGCTTCCAAGATTGGCTACATGCAGATCATTTATTAGCCACCCCCGCAATGCCTCACTTTCTCAAAACAATGTCCAACATCAAAGAAGGTACCCAGCATTATCCTCCACAACTGATTAAGGCAGCTGTGTGTGGGACTTCACCTCCTCCCAACATTCTCAGGACATTAAAGACTGTTCTCACACCATCAAAAAACTTAACAAGAGTGAGGGAGGGGGAAGGAACAGAGGCAGGAAGGGTAATGTCAGATAACTAACTCCTCAATACATTTTGTCTTCCGGATGCATTTTCCATACAAAGTCCAGCTATGAGGGCCTTCTAGTGGTTCCCTCATTGCAAGAAGTGAGGTTACAGGGAACTAGGCAGAGGGCCTTTTTTGGTAGCTGCACCGGCTCTGTGGAACACCTTCCCAGCAGATGTCAAACAGATAAACAGCTATGTGTTTTTTAGTGTTTTATGTTGTATTGTGTTTTTGCTATTTTTTGTTGGGAGCCACCCAGAGTGGGGGGGGCACCCCAGTCAGTTGTGTTATCGTCATCATCTTCATCTTCAGCAGCAGCAGCAGCAGCATCGCAACAACAACATTTTCTAGTATGTGAATGAATGCTATTTAAAAACATTGATAGTCTGTAGGTGCCCTTAAACCACGTATAAACAACAACAATAAAAAATGCTTAAAGAAGTGCATGTGTTTTGCAACAGGATTCTTTTAAAAAGCAAAGTAAAACTCAGAGGCTTGAAAATCATCCAGCTCTTCTCTAGCCGATCCGGATACTTTTGTCAAGTCACTCGCTCCATTAACTAAACTGAGATTGCAAATATTTGCCTTTTGGCACAGGATCAGAGAGCCTGTCATTAGGAGCTCAGCTCCAAGCAGTCTTTCGCCTTCAGTCTGTAGCTGGAAGAACGTTCATATTTGCAAAGCTACTATGCTGCATTAAAGATGACCTGAAATACCCCAGTGTGTCGGAAGAGGGCACCCTTGGCCAGTCCCCAACCACGTTGCAACTAAGGAGAGGATGTCCTTGAAGGGCAGGCTGAGGACAGAAATGCTTTGGACAAAGCACAGGCTGTGGGTCAAAGCAGATGGGGCAAGTTTCAGTTCAGCATATTTCAATACCGAAGAACTACCCCGGCCCCAGAAAAAAGAGGGAGAGGGAAGGGGGTCCAAATTAAAAGGGCCATAACTCAGTGGCAGAGCATTTGACTTGCATGCAGAAGGCTGCATGATCAATCTCTAGCCTTTCCAGGTACGGATAGGAGAAACAGCTACTCAAAACCCTGGAGACCCACTGCCAGTCAGACTAGATACTGATCTAGGTGGACCAATGGTTTAATAGAGAGGGCATGATTAAAGGCAGGCATGTCCAACAGATAGATTGTGATCTACCTGCAGATCACTGAACGTCTTTGGTAGATCGCTGGTAGATCACTGGCTCCCCCCAAAGAAGCCCTGCATCCCCCAAAGTGGGGCTTTCTTCCTCCCTAAAAAAAGCTGATAAACTCTGACCTGAGCTGTCAGGAGCTTGTCTTACACTCGAGTAGGACCCTGGTAGAGACACATGCCCGACTGGCATGTTCCCTCCAGGGTCCTACTCGAGTGTAGGACGAGCTCCTGACAACGGTCATGGGCCCAGGGATCAGGGCCACAGACCCAGTGCCAGCAGAGGAAGAACCGGGGGCTGTTTTAGTATCTAAGTCTTCAGCAATGGGGTAGCCTAGGAAAATACACACATTTCCTTCCCACTCTTCTCTGCACTCAACATCCCCAGTGAGTAAAATCAGCTCGGTATTAGGCTTTAGTACACTGTACAAGCCATCACCAATCACCATACCCAAGGAAGAATCTATGCTTCCTGCCTCGTGACGTCTCAACCCACATGTCAGACTCATCCATTGGCATCCTGGCTTTTTCCAGGTTTATCTTGTCACAGTTCCCATCAGAAACTCTGTCTGAATCCAGGGAAAGACCTTGCAAACTATGCTTGCCGAGAGTATCGCTCTGTGACTTTGGAACCCACATGTCAGATCCAATCATTGGCATCTTGGATTTTCCGGGTTTGCCTTGTCACTGTCATCCTCACCAATAGGGTGCCTGTGATGTTCGGGCTGAAGAAAGCTTTGAAGCTCCCAAACGATCGACCAGGAGGGAGAGAACATGCCAGTCGGGCATGTGTCTTTGCCAGGGTCCAACTCGAGTGTAGGACGAGCTCCTAAAAAATGGGGCTTCCCTCCTCCCTAAAAAAAAGACCTGAATCCCGCAAAACAGGATTTCCTTCCTGAAAAAAAGCTAAACAACTTTAATCTGAACCCCCCAAAATGGGTAGATCACTGCCAGTTTTCAACTCTGTGAGTAGATCGCAGTCTCTTGGGAATTGGCCACCCCTGATTTAAGGTGTTTGGCTGTCACTGGTCTAGAGTGGGGTGGCTTCAGAACCCTAGACATGGTACAGGAAATGCCCTCAACATTTATGGAGTGAGTTCAGGACCATGGCTAGCAACCTTGCAGCTAAGCCATAGCACAGGTGTTGGGAACCGTTGGCCTTCCAGATGCTGTGAAACTACAACTCCAGTCATCCCTGGCCACTGACCATCCTTGCTGGGGCTTATGGGTGTTGCAGTGCTATTCTTCATTTGAGGCTCATGACTCCCAAAACAGCAGCCACCTAGCTACGATTCCTTCTTCTACAAGGTAACTGTTAAAGGAAGAGAAGTCACTTTTCTGCCAGTTGTTTCCAGTGTGATTATAGTGGAGCTATATATCCTTCAGATCTGGCTCCTGCACACAAAGGCTTGATGTAATGCAGCCTCGTTGGCTTGTGCAAAGCCATCCTGGATTGCTCAGAGAGAACCGGGAGAAATTATTCTGGGCTCCTACTATACTCAGTATATTCAAAGCAATTAAGAGAAAGCCACACAGGTGAAGAAGGGCCTTGATCAGCCCATTTCTCTAAGCATATCTCTTGCCAGTCCTCATTATATGCAAGATGGGTACTTAAGGGGGGCCTACCAGGAACAGCCAAGCCAAGACACACTGCCCCAATTACAGGGGAGCAAGCCTTTAATTAGAGGGGAGCAAGCGGGTGGAGCTGTGGGTTAAACCACAGTGCCTAGGACTTGCTGATCAGAAGGTCAGCAGTTCGAATCCCTACGACGGGGTAAGCTCCTGTTGCTCGGTCCCTGCTCCTGCCAACCTAGCGGTTTGAGAGTATGTCAAAGTGCAAGTAGATAAATAGGTACCGCTCCAGCGGGAAGGTAAACGGCATTTCCGTTCGCTGCTCTGGTTCGCCAGAATCGGCTTAGTCATGCTGGCCACATGACCTCTACGCCAGCTCCCTCTGCCAATAAAGCGAGATGAGCGCCGCAACCCCAGAGTCGGTCATGACTGGACCTAATGGTCAGGGGTCCCTTTACCTTTAACTTAAACCTTTAAAAAGGCTGAGCTGCTTATTGCGGCTTTCCCCCATCCCAACATCAACGGATCCAATTCCTTTTCCAGCATCAGAGATCCAGGACACAATCTTCTATGAAGCTGACCAGCATTGCTCATTCTTTGTGAGTAAATTTGAACAACAGTGAGTGCAGTGAATCAGCTAGTATTAGTTCAGCTGTGGTGCCACAGTGCTCAGGTTTATTTTGTATTCTGCTGTGACCTTCTGCCTGCCTTCTCCCACCTTTGTTCATAACAAAGTTCCTCAATTTGACTGTGTATGTTTGCCAGCCTCAGGGTTTCAGAATTCCCACATGGCAAGACACTCAGCACCCAAGCTATCGCAAGTTTAGAATTTGAGTGGTAAGTGACCAGCATGGTCTTCTGGGGTCTGGGAGAGACTTGGAAAGAGCATGGGCTGCCTTTGGGCCATAGCTTGTCTCAATATTCAGGCCATTAGTCCTTCCAGTTCAGTCTTGTCTACACCAGGGTTTCCAAGACTTGGGTCTCCAGCTGTTTTTGGATTACAGTTCCCATCATCTCTGACCCCTGTTCCTGCTAGGTAGGGATGATGGGAGTTGTAGTCCAAAAAACAAGTTTGGGAAACTCTGGTCTACACTGACTGGCAGTGGTCCTCCAGGATTTTGGGCATTCCTAACCCTACCCAGAGATTCCAGAGAGTGAACCTTGGACCTTCTGCATGCAATGCTCTATCACTGAGCTGTGGTCCTTTCCCTGAAGGAAGTGATCCCAAGAGCAGTGAGACTTTACTAGGGTGCTCAAAGATCACTCAAGCCTGCAGTGAATAGCCTCAGAATCCCAGGGAAATCATGAACTTAATAATGCATCCCAGTTAAACTCGAGCTCTAAAAGGTCAGGGCCAAAGTGCAAAAACCCAGTGGGAAGACAGCTGTAACTATTGCATCTACCAAATGGGAAGAAATGGCGCTTGTGTGTTTTATAGCTCACAGTGCAGAATGATTTCCTCCGGCCCCAGCAGGGTAGGTCATTGCTAATTACTTAGGATGAAATCCAACCTTAGCCTTGCCTCTCTCTTCCTCATTAATAAGAAATGAATACGAAAATTCATTCCAGGAAGATTTCAGCCGTGCACACATTCCTATGGTTTATTTAGAACTCACGGCAAGATGTAAATGTTTTGAGCTGTTAACACGTTGTTCATAATCCTTCCCTGGAGATTGTGGCAGGCTCCAATCTCATGGCAAGCAAGTCAGGTTTATTTATTAGGAGAGGCCTGTTTGTTTTAGGTGGTGAAGCGGCTTCTTGCAATCAGCTGTTCAAGAAGAAATACCTCCCTTGCAATTCGAGTGACGGCCAAATTACACATTACATTATTCATGCTTTCTAATAGGGGTGGGGAACCTCCATCCCATGAGCAGAATCTGGCCTGCCAGGCCTCTCTCTCTAACTCTTGGGACTCTCCTCGGCTGCTTTTGGCTGGTTGGAATCAGTCTTATGTTGGGGGTAAAGCAGCAATGCTTGTAATACGTTGCCTGGACCAGTTGGGGGAGATAGACAGAAAGGCAACCTATTTTTCCTTACTGATTCCTTCTTGAGTAACTACTTTTAGATTGCTCTCTCTCTCTCTCTCTCTCTCTCTCTCTCTCTCTCTGGCTTTACTTCCTTCCTTCCCCCTCAGTTAGCATTAAACCTTCCTCTTCTGTGATGCCCGCAGAAAGCTTGTACTTAGTATGGCTTTGTTTGCCAAAAGTAATAAGCCTTCTTTATTCCTCCAGCCAGCAATCTTACCAGACTATTTATTTCTTCAAAATATAGGTACCAAACGCCAACATCGTCAGACTATGGCGATGTCTCTTGCTTACCTGGAAAGAGAATTGAAGTGTAAGTGTGTGTGTGTGTGTGTGTGTGTGTGTGTGTGTGTGTGAATCTCTGACTTTTGCATAGGTAGAATGTAGCCTACTATCAGATTCATATCCATTGTCCCACCCAGGTTTGACTCTGGCTTTACCCACTTTTAACCCTGGCACCAGCAAACCACTGGGAGTTTATTCACAAGAATACTTGGTCCTTGGGCTATAGAAGATTCCCCATGCCTCCTTTTAAACAGGGAGGAGGAGGAGGAGGAGGAGGAGGAGGAGGAGGAAGAAGAAGAAGAAGAAGAAGAAGAGGAGGAGGAGGAGGAGGAGGAGGAGGAGGAGGAGGAGGAGGAGGAGGAGGAGGAGTTTGGATTTGATATCCCGCTTTATCACTACCAGAAGGAGTCTCAAAGCGGCTAACATTCTCCTTTCCCTTCCTCCCCCACAACAAACACTCTGTGAGGTGAGTGGGGCTGAGAGACTTCAGAGAAGTGTGACTAGCCCAAGGTCACCCAGCAGCTGCATGTGGAGGAGCGGAGACGCGAACCCGGTTCACCAGATTACAAGTCTACCGCTCTTAACCACCACACCACACTGGCTCCCAGTTCTATCCTAAAGAAATGACAACTGTGGAGTGGGGTCCTAGTTCCAATCAAGGCTTCTGTGTCGATTTCCTGCTGACAGTTTCAGGGCTGCTTACAATTGTATGCAGACACTTTCCCCCTTCTGTTTTTCTCTGCTAGGTTCAGTGGCCGTTTCCCCCTCTACACACACACACACAGACACACACACACACACAGACACACACACACAGACACACACACACACACACACACACACACACACACACACACACTTTGTTCCTCCTTAAGTAACCTTTGTGACCACATACTAGATGTGATGACACCAGAGCACTATGCAGGGTAGCCAGTCAAATGCAGCTATGTGTTGATGTCACTGAGGGCACAGGTAGCCCACTCCTGTCCTGGCCGTATGGTTGATCCCAACTCAACAGGGATCACTTTGAGAGTGAAACAGTACCTCGGCTGTTCCTTAATGTTGTTGTTGGCACCCATCTGCCTCAGGAGACAGTGGAGGAGTGTGCCTTTGTGGGTGAAGGCAAACTGTTGGAAGGTTGCAGCACCTGCTGTGCCCACAGCTGTAGAGGCCAATACGGGAGAGACTTGTTTACATGATGATCTCTCCCACCAACAAAGGCAACCTGTAGCGTTCGTACCTTGCGCCAATCAGGATGAACTTAGAACTCGTAACTGCTGCTTCCCTGTATTGTTTTTGCTGCAAGTGACCTCCCCGGGGTGCAAGTAAGGGCAATGTATGGAGGTCCTGGGTTGCCTAAACAACAAGATACCTCTTGAAGTCTCACTGATGTGGTCCAATGGAAAGCAAAGCCAGTTTTCCTTTGGCACCAGGTTGGCTGCAGGGCTCTTTTGGGGATTTGTGTAGGGTTGACTCATGAAGAGAAGGCAGTGGAGGTTTTGGGTCAGAGTTTTCCTACTCCTAGATAGGCTACCTTCCCAGGTTGATGAGCCCCATCTGCCTCTCATTTCCCTCTACCAACTCATGTGCCACCTTGACCATTGAACCCACTATGGGTCTTGTCCAATCAATCTACCGAAGCCTGTCTTTGCAAGTCTGTAACTCACCAAGGGTTTGAGATCTATCAGCTACCCTCAACTGGATTAGCCGGCTGGTTGAAAATAAAAGAAAAGGGCCCCTCATTTTGCTCTGACGAAGTTTGCCATGAAATTAGCCCCCCCCCCCCATCTTCTATTTCAGTTTAGTCTCCAAGAAATCCCTGCTGGCAACCAGTAAGCAATATGTCTTTCACTCAAAAATAGTTCCACTGTGATTTGCTTGGATGATCTTTCCTGCTTTTTAGTTTACCAGCAGCGTCTTCCAGCCCCCGTCCCCCCCCCCCAGCGCACTAGTCTCTGCAAAAGACAGACCGTTTTTCTTTGTTAACATCAGCCGTCTGGGAGTTCTGAACTCCGTAATTCATTGTTAATTCAGGAAGCAACCGCTTGAAGTGTTAGAAGTTGGAAAACAAACATTCCGTGGGTTTTGATGATGGGTTAAACACATTGGCTATGTGACAAAAATAATCTATTCAACAACAGTGTAAAAAGAGGATCACATTCCAATAAGCAGCTAAGGCCTGCCTGTCGGTTTCCACTGAAGGCTCCAAAATTGCTTAGTTGCATCCACAGGGTATTATTTGAAAAGCCCGTGTCATTCTGTAGGTAATACTTATGCTGTTCGCTTTCCAGAATTGCTCGCTGGCCTTAGAATTTAAATGCTAAGGTCCACCCAGTCTCCCTTAGTTTTTAGATGCCTGGCTTTAGGCCCTGCAATTTCTTTGCAATGTTAAAGACAATAGGCAGCTAAAATGGATCCGTTTCCTGCCAAGTCCCATTATGCCATTAGGGGTGGGCAAAGTCTGGCCCATGGGGCAGATGTGGCCCATAGGGTCTGCCTATCTGGACCACAGGGCCTTAACATCTGGACCATGGCCATCTCCCCCCACTGCTCCTTGTCCTGTCTCTGTGCTTGTTAAAATCAGAGCAAGCAATGGCAACAAGAGGAAGCTGGTAGGTAGTGTAGAGGTAAGAAGCTGGGGAGGCGATTCCAAGGGTGAATAGATAAGAAGATGGAGAGGAAGGTGAACATCTGCTGAAGGAGGGCCAAAGGCGCCTGAACATGAGTCGCTTCTGTGAGATGCTGCTGCACACATGGATGGAGCCAGAGCCAGGAGCTGGCATCACTGGGCATCTATCATGGCTTACACCCCAAGCACAGTGCTCACTGTTGACTCTGATGAGTCCATGGGCTCTTCTCCTCAGCCTTGCTGCCTCTTCAAGCCCATGAGTTGTGGCTATGCAATGTGAAGGAGTTGCAGCTGGAGGTAGAAGTAAGATGAATCGTCAGTGAAGGCAAAGGACAAGCGGATGGTCAACGATGACAGTGGCCAGGAGGTGGGCCTACTCAGAGCACCTTCCCCAAAGGTTTGCTGAAATCTAGGGTTCATTCTACAGATAGGTTGTGGTTCTTGGGATCATAAAGCAAGTTGCCATCACATTATGGAGCTTTCCCAACTCCCTTCCTGCTGCAATCTCTTGTGGTCACCCTCAAATTCTGCAGAGGGTCAGAGTTGCAGTATGTGATGCTCCTCAAGGGTCCAGCTTCACAGAAATGGTGGAAAGGCTCCTTGGATTCAAGCCAGCATACTATTCCTATTGTTATGAGTTTGTGGGTGCCTGACAGACCTTTTAACCCCTGCAGGTGTATTAATATAAGCCAGGCTATCTTCTGGATGAGGTTATTGCCTAGAATGATGGGACATTAAGAAAACAAGGCAGCTCTGTGCCAGATAGCAAATGGGAGGAGGAGGAGGAGGAGGAGGAGGAGGAGGAGGAGGAGGAGGAGGAGAAGAGGAGGAGGAGGAGGAGGAGGAGGAGGAGGAGGAGGAGGAGGAGGAGGAGTTTGGATTTGATATCCAGCTTTATCACTACCCGAAGGAGTCTCAAAGCGGCTAACATTCTCCTTTCCCTTCCTCCTCCACAACAAACACTCTGTGAGGCAAGTGGGGCTGAAAGACTTCAAAGAAGTGTGACTAGCCCAAGGTCACTCAGCAGCTGCATTTGGAGGAGCGGAGACGCAAACCCGGTTCCCCAGATTACGAGTCCACCGCTCTTAACCACTACACCACACTCGCCCCTCCTCCAGCTCTGAGATAGTTAGAAGGACAAAATACAGAGTTCCAAGTTAAAAATGAGTGTGAAAGAGCTAGAAGCAAGACAACAAGCAGAAAGAGAGAACCATGCCAGTTCTCTGCTTGAATCCAAGGCTGTGGCTGTGGGAGAAACAAGACTCTTTTGAGGTGTTGATGCTGTTAACACCTTAATTGCAGGCTCAGGTTGTATATCTGTGTAAATAAACCATATATCATAAAGACACTGCAGCCTGTGCTGTGCTTCATTTCCAAAAGGAAACATGAACCCTGGGTGAGCACCTGAAACCCCTGGAATCTCTCATCACTCGGAGATTGGGGTGGCATGCAACAATATGTAATAGGGGCTAATGACATTCGCAACCAAGCTCAGTCAGAAGCTATTTTAAGGTGGCCCAATAGCTTATTTCCTTGGAAGAATTTTAATTAAGATCTGATTCACATGGCCAACTTTAGACTGAGCTGGACTGCACTTTGGGGACATGAGGAAGTTTTAGAGGTCACTACAACACTAGCACCTACAATTCAGACTGATGAACAACGTCAATCCAGTTAATCAGGGAGAAGCCAATCAGATGATTACATAGCACAGAAACCACTTCTGTGACTGCATAGTAACCGCTCTGTAAGCGAAAAGCCGTGGCTGCTAAATAAAGTGGGAGGGAAGGGGTGGAGTTTTGTTAGGTCAGTGGAGGGGTGCACCAATCAAACTTAAAATGGCTCAGAAACAAGCCAATATAATTCTTGAATTTTGACGGCAGGAATGAATAACTTGATTGGTTTCAGAGCCAATTTGTTCTTGCCCATGGCCTGTTCCAACTGCGTTCCGTGAGTTTTGTAGCTGAGCGGATATTTGAACGCTACTGCTGCCCAAGTATGAGAGACTGGCTCCCCAGTTCTAGAATCAATTAATTGGTGCAATTTGTCGATTAAAAGTATTCATCACAAATTAAAATCCACCCCATGCCAAGTACTGGGAGACTTTATATGCAGCCTCTGCAAGACAGTTGGTTCTCATGAGGTCCTCCACATTTAACCCACAAGGCGGTTTTGAGCAGTTCACGTCTGCCGCAACCTGATGTCATGTATGATGTCACGTGTGGGGCAGATACAGCTGCAGCTCAGCCAAAAGGAGTTTTCAGACATCAGCAGTCAGCTGACCAGTGGCACCTGCAAAGTCCTGCGCATAGTACCCCACGAAGCTCTTTGCAAGTCCCAATGATCAAATGTTTGGTGGTGCTACCTGAGAGCTGAGAGTGGCACTTGGAAGTCCCATCTATCAGCTGCTTGTTGGGGCTTCAAAGCACCGTGCATCCCACTGGTCACCTGATGTCTCAGTGATGTCACTGTGATGTCAGGTGAATGACAGGTGGGTGATGCCACCAAGTTATGAAGCTTGGCCCATGGGAGACAATTTGAATCCAATTCTTCAGCAATGGGCTAGCAGAAACGAATAGCACTGGGGAGCCAGGAAAATTTCTCTGGCTTCATCTGAGCCAAAAAGCAGTTCAGGGCTTTAAAAGCTCACCTGTCATTTGCAGGATGCTTTTATGAGCTGCGCCATAGTCCATTTCTGAGCCTGGCTAGTGAGAACTGCACATCTACCCCTTTTAATACACACACTTAATTCCTCTGTAACTGATTACAGTGAAAAACGGATCTTTGAGTTAGCCTCTCCCATTCCTGTTTGCTGCTCATTTACTCCAGTCCTTCTTGGTAAACTAGGTAGTTTAATCATTTTTCCTCTCGCCAATTTTACGTCACTTAGGAAAAACATTATTACGCTCCACCTCTCTTTTATGTATTTCTAATTATTTTCCACCCCTCTGATTGCACCAATTAAGGAACGGCATCCTGATGGCTCTACGGTAGCCTGGGATTCTCATTCATCACGGCATTTGCTCTGCCTAGTTAGAGCCTGCGATTTCTTTTGCATTATGATTTGAAATAATTCAATACAAAAGTAATCTGAAGTGGGTAAGAATCAATAAGGATAGACATTGTATTAGTCAGCAGGGCAGCTGAGCGGCTCTCAAATCTACTTAGAAATGTTTTGC